AGTCGACCAAGCGAAGTAGAAGGTGTGATGTCATCCTCTACGGGCTCATGCTCCCGTCAGGTATTTCCGGAACGTGAACCCGAGCCTCGCTGTCTAGCCATGCTACATTGTGAAAAATCATCATAAATTAAGGTTCTATATTATCTAAGGTTCGCCTAGCCGCATGATACTATGTTCGCAAAAAAAAGAGTACGTAGTACTAAAACAGAGCACAAATTCAAATTGAGCATATACGGCATTTTTTCAATCAATCACACAATTTCTTGCAACACTATAGTGATTATTGTGATAAATTGGACAAGAATTGCTAGCAAAAACATCAAGAACAAGTCACATTATTCTTCATGACCTTAGGAGGTCCAACAATGGAAAATTGCTCATTTCTTCACCAAATCGAGTCAAACAAGTCTCAAATTACTCCCAAGGAAATATATAAACATAATCAAGCAATTTCATGGCATAAAACTTGACAAACAAAGCAAATTGAGCATTATAAATTTCGAATTTACATGAAATTCGTGAATAAACATGCCAAAAATTCATAAAAACTGATGCGAGTTTGAAGAAAACTTACATAGATCGGGAAAGTAGATGAAAAGAGCTTTAATTTGCAACAAATTTGAGTAAATTCGGTTGAGAAATGAGCAAGAACCGAGCAATTGAAGTTTTCGGATTTTTTTCGAGCAGTTTCGCGACGAGCAAGCAGCAAAATGAAGAAGAAAGGGGTATTTAAGGAAATCCCCGTGCTGGAGCCAAGCCCTAAGCATTGGCATCAAAAATTAGGCTTTGCGCCTGGCGCCAATCTCAGCGCCTGGCGCTAAGGCTGATTGAGTGGCACTGATAGCTTTTCAGCGGCGCCAGAGCACCCAGCCACTTGGTGAGGTTGTTCTACCTTTCTGTAACATATTTTTGGGTTCCTTGGTACGCCAGTTAGCCCCTCTAAGAAATTTGACATGATTTAGTAATCGGCTTGATTACATAAAGTGATCGACCTGATAAAAGATCGTCTCACTTAGCTTGAAGCACCTAAGCATTGGCTCATTAACAAATAAAAAGCACCGGCGTATAGGTTCAAAAGCAAAAGACACTGACATAATGGTTCATTTGCAAAAGGCACCGATATACAGGTTCAAAGCAACAGAAGCACCGACGTACAGGCAGCGGAAGCAAAGTTCAGGCGAACTTTTAAAGATCGACAGGCATGGATCTTCGGTAATTCTCTTAGGAAAATTATCGCATCAAATGAGGATGACTTCAAGAGAGGATATCTTCGACGGCATTTCCTAGCTTATGGAGTGTTGTCACAAACAACTGGAGGTAATTTCAGGCGAAGTTATCTTCGATCATATTCCTTTGGACGTGGAATATTATCAATGCGGATGGAGATTATTTCAAGAGAAATAATCTTCGATAGTATTCCCTTGGACGTGGAATATTATCAATGCGGGTGAGGATTGTTTTGAGAGAAATACTCTTCGATGATGTTCCCTAAGACGTGGAATATTATCATAGCGGAGGAGGATCATTTCAGGCGAAGCAATCTTCTATATTCGGAAGCAGTTACAGGCGTAGCGGTTTTCAAGCGGGATGGCATTCTCTAGCTTGCAGGAGGTCATCAAAATAATCGGTTACTTTCGGAGACGCGTGCTCGATGGTGCAAGATACGCGTTTCTTAACTCTTTTATCTGTTTAACTAACGTTAGTTTGCAGGTATCGGCGTTGCAAGAGTCATTTAGGATCGCAAAACGTTTTGAATCATTCTCCGTCCCTATCGATACTTTGACTTTTGTTTTCGAAACTCGCGTTTCTCCAAACTCAGTCAAAGTGGGGGCTTCTGTAGACACCCATTTGTGTCTCCCCAAAAAAAAAACCCAGTGATGAGTACCTTTCACGTCGAATCATAATCGAATGAAGCGAAAGTGTGGAAAGTCTAGTGTTGTGGATAGTTTCAATTTCTTTTCTCTTCTCTCTATTTTTGAAAACTTATTTTAAGAAAACAGCCAATATAGTTTGGTTCGTCCATGATATGGGTCCAATAGTAGTGTAGTTGGATGGGGCTTGACAAGAGCTTTCCAACGATATATTATAAGCCCAATTCCGATGAATATTGAGGAAGTTATGGCCAATTTACCAAACTGGGCCCGATTTGAGCTTCATATGCGGCCCAATGATCTAGAGGAGGGCCTAATATGATTTATCATTCCTAATTCAATTAGGAATGGTTTTAGTCTTCTAGATTCTTCTAGAAGGTTCTTTTCATTCCTAATTCAATTAGCATTGATAAATTGACTTTTTGTTGACTTTTCAAAATCAAATAGCATTTTCGAGTAAGTTATATGATCTTATCCTCCAGTACGGCAAACTTATCTGATTTTCGAAAACGCGTTAAAACCAGGCTTGGCGCCTGGCGCTAGTGTTGGTGCCTAGCGCCAGTTAGCCAGGGCTTGCGCCAACTCTGTTTTTTGTGCGTCAGACTCTGTTTTGTTTATTTTATCTTTTTGGTTGATTTTCTCTATAAATAACGTATTAAAAACTCCGTTTTCACTCACCAATTCTCACGAATTTTCACTTACAATCAGTTTTCCTTCGCAATCATTAATTCTCTAATCCTCTCTTAATCATTCACCAATTCTCACGAATTATCATCAACAATCAGTTTTCATTCATCATCAATTCTCTCTAATTGTCTTTCAATTCTTTCCTTGCTTTTTTAATACAAAATTTTGCATTCACAAGATCTAGAAACACCTAGCCATATTCGAAGTTGCCTTCGCCCTAGACGTGAAAGGTTTAATTTCTGAGGGTTTGGTCCCAAATCTCTCTTTCAATTATTTAATTTAATTTTTTTGTTTATTATTTTCCTTAAAGTTACTAACGTGTGTATTTTGTTATTAGAAAGAGGTACGAGGCATCAAAGTAAGTGCTTTAATGGTTTTAATTGATTTTATGATGTAGAAATCATGTTTACATTGTCATTATGATATTCCTAGTATCATGTCTAGGGTAATTTTAATATTAAATATGGTTGTTACGATGCTTCCTATGTTCTTCCTAATATTCATGATTGTTAGTATCATGTTAGGGCTAAAGATTTGATTTTTAATACTTAGTGACATGCTAGGGTTAGTTATTAATCTTGTCAGTATCATGCCTTGGATCTTGCTATTATTATGCTTTAATATTAACATGAACATGATTATGATTGTTATAATTTATTATGATTATGATTGTTGTTATTACTATGATTATTATTTTTATGATTATTATTATCTTGATGATGATTATAATTTTATTGTTGTGATGTTGATTATTACTTATGTTGCTTGATACATTATTTATTTTTATTGCTTGATCACACCTTTTATTCCATGTTTAAAGGGAATTCGTACTTGTAATCACGCTTAATAAGATAATTAATAATCTTGTTAGGGTTATTGTGATTATAATTTCAAGTGATCGCCAATAATAGATTTATGTGTGCATTAAATTCAACCAACATAGATAAACAGGTTTAGGGTTAATCTATTGATTGCATGTTAATTAAAAAGCGCACATGAATACGATCAGAATAAAGTAGAGGCCTATTATTAGGGCAGGTTCAATCTCTTTTAGGTTGGATTTGTACCTTCATCCTCGAACCCTTATTTGGTTATAGACCTTATGGAGTTGACGATCTCTTGGATCGTTAAGGGGTGTAACCTTCACCCTGTGAACGGTTTACAAGTTCTTAAAAAACTTGTTGGCGACTCTTTTGCTCTATCTTCTTTCCCTTTTGGACGCCACCGTACTTTAGTGTATGATCACAGTGGGGTTCGAGCTAGTGGGATTAAAGCTTAAAATATTCCCTACAGATACATTGTGATAACAATACTACCTTGGCAAGGGCTTATAGCCAAGTTTATAATGGTAAGTTAAGGCACATTGGAGTACGACATAGATACATCCAAGGGCTTATCAAGGATAGTGTGATCACTATTGATTATGTTCGAACGAATCTAAATCTCTCCGATTATTTTACAAAGGCATTGGCTAGAGATGTTAACAATAGGATGGCAATCGGATTAGGATTGGAGCCCTAAATAATCACAATTAGGAGGATCTCAACTTAACACTCAATAAGACGTTGGGTCTTAAGTTCAATGAGATCAATTCTCTTATTTGATGATTGGGAACTTGTTTATTCATCCAGGGTAAAGTTCCGGTTTACTGTGATGTAAAGAGTTGTTTTAAACTTAATTGAATTCCTGATAAAGTGATTTGGTCACATGAGCATGTTGGAAGTCTACCTATGTAAGTACGAGGCTTAGCCGCTTCAAGAAGCTATTAGGGACATAGCTTTGATTTACTTATGAACAGATATGGACATATGGCTTATAGTGTCAAGTTAATATGTATTTAAGTAATTAATCTTATGTGTGTAATATCTTCAAGTTTCCAATATGTGTTGCTTTTGGTTCAAACGTTTTACGATACCAAATGGATACAGATTCTTGAATTGTATGTTGCACTAAGTGGGAGTTCAAGTCTTTGTACACTTTCATTTATGCATAAGATTGTTTTGTGATGATAATGTTATTTGCAATGAGTCTTGTTAAATACTCTAAATTGGGGAGGATTGTTGAATGATTTAGAGTATTTACGATAAATTCCATGTTGTATAATTAATTGCTTAGGATATGGTATTGTAATTGATTAAACAAGGATTAGAACAAGAACATAACCCAAGTAGCAGCAGCATATCATGTTCAATTGGAACAAGGAAGATGACTGAATTCAAAGGGGAAATTATCAGACGCCGCAAAGCCGCCCTATCGAGCTAGCACAGCCCGATCAGGCGCGCAAGCAATACTGGGTTGGCTATAATCTGCTGCCCGATCGAGCAGTCACCACCCAATCGGGCGCGCGTCTGAGGTTGGTAGAATTGTCTGAGGTCTTAATTTTTTTTTTAAAAAAAAACTTATTTAATTTGATTTTTGTAAAATGTAAATTATTTGATCCAAACAAAAACACAGTTCATCTTTATAATTTGATTAACATTTATACAAGTAATATGTAATATCTATAGATTACATTGATTTATACTTTTAAAATTCATCTCTTCCAGACCCTTGCCTTTTCCAATTTCAGCAGCCCCTTCACTTTGTGCTCATTGGCATACCCCTTCCAATTTTAGCAGCCCCTTCACCGTATGCTCATAGGTGGCCCTTTTCTAATGTACATGGTCTTCATAGCTAGGCTGCAAAAATTAAGCATCAAATAAAAATAAATAAATAAAATTGAAACTAATAGAATAATAAGATGATCATAATGAATTGTTCCTCAGCTCACTATCACTCATCTACATTAACCAAGGAAGAATCATTCAAATTACAACAAATTAATATAAATTCTAGATCAATGAAAAATGTGAAGTCTTCTTGCGCAAAAGCTACATGCACCAACGCGCTTCTTCCAAACCATCAAATCATCAATATGTAACTAAGTCAAACATAAAATTTTATACTACGTATTCACCTATATATTGGAAACACCAAATATCTAATGTCTAATTTGATTCATTTCAACAGATTGGAGGCTATCACAGCACCACCCCAACATTGTCTTTTGTGAAAACATTATTATTGTTGAATGGTAATTAAGTTTACAGGTCATCAAGGCAAACATCCATTGTAAAATTTCATCCTGAAGCTAAGGAATAACTTAACAATTGTATCACGCTAAATTGAAGTATCAACCATGATCCCACATTCTCCAATATGACTCAATACATATTCATAAACAATCCTTTTAAGGCTATAAATGAACATCTCTACTAGTCTTGACCTATCCCATCCAATAGAACTTAAACAATATTTTCTTAACAGTATCATCTGTAGGGAATAAATTTCAAGCGTTAATCCCATAGCTTGAACCCCACTGTAATCATACACTAAAGTACGGTGGCGTCCAAAAGGGAAGAAGATAGAGCAAAAGAGTCGCCAACAAGTTTTAGGAACTTGTAAACCGTTCATAGGGTGAAGGTTACACCCCCAAACGATCCAAGAGATCGTCAACTCCATAAGGTCATGAACCAAATAAGGGTTCGGGGATGAAGGTACAAATCCAACCTAAAAGAGATTGAACCTACCCTAATAATAGGCCTCTACTTTATTCTGATCGTATTCATGTGCGTTTTCTGATTAACATGCAATCAATAGGTTTAACCCTAAACCTGTTTATCTATGTTGGTTGAATTTTAATGCACAAATAAACTATTATTGGCGATCACTTGAATTATAATCATATTAACCCCCTAACAAGATTATTAATTATCTTATTAAGCGTGATTACAAGTATAGATTCCCTTTAAACATGCATAAAGGCGTGATCAAGCAATAACAATAAACATCATCAAGCAACATAATAATAATAATATTAATAATAATTATAATCATCATAATAAAAATAAATTATAATAATCATAATCATAATCATAATCATAATCATAATCATAATCATAATCATAATCATGTTAAAGCATAATAATAGCAAGATCCTAGGCATGATACTAACAAGATTAATAACAAACTCTAGCATGTCACTAAGCAATAAAAATCAAATATTATCCCTAACATGATACTAACAATCATAAATATTAGGAAGAACATAAAAGACATCATAGAAATCATAATTGACATTATATTCTTTACCCTAAACATGATACTAGGAATTTGTTGTTGTCATTCAAAACATCAAGCATCCTAACATGATACTAGGAATCATAATAACAACCTAGACATAATTTCTATATCATAATAACAATAAAACCATTAAAGTACTTACTTTGATGCCTCGTACCTCTTTCTAATAACAAAATACACGCGTTAGTAACATCAAGGAAAATATAAACAAACAGTTAAATTAAATAATTGAAAGAGAGATTTGGGACCAAACCCTCAGAAATTAAAATCTTTCACGTCTAGGGCGAAGGCAACTTCGAATATGGCTAGGTGTTTCTAGATCTAATGAATGCGGAATTTTGTATATAAAAAGCTAGTTTAGAAAAAGAGAAAGAAAGTAATCAAGGAAAATCTTAATGAGAGTCGGTGAATGAAAATAGAGAGAATTGGTGAATGATTAGAAAAGAATGAGAATGAAAACTGGTTGTAGGTGATTATAATTGAAAACTGGTTATCGAAAACGGAGTTTTTAATACGTTATTTATAGAGAAAACCAGCCAAAAAGATAAAATTATTAAAACAGAGTCTGGCGCACAGAAAACAGAGCTGGCACCAGGCGCCAACATTAGCGCCAGTGTCTGGCGTTAGGCGCTAATCCTGTTTTTAACGCGTTTTCTAAAATCAGATAAATTTTGCCGTACAGGAGGATAAAATCGTATTTTTTCCTCAAAAATGTTCTTTGATTTTAATTAAAACTCTGAAAAGTCAACAAAAGTCAATTTATCAATGCTAATTGAATTAGGAATGAAAAGAACCTTCTAGAAGAATCTAGAAGACTAAAACCAATCCTAATTGCATTAGGAATGATAAATCATATTAGGCCCTCCCCTAGATCATTGGGCCGCATATAAGGCTCAAACCGGGCCCAGTTTAGTAAATTGGCCATAACTTGCTCAATATTCATCGGAATTAGGCTTATAATATATCGTCGGAAAGGTCTTGTCAAGCCCCACCCAACTACACTACTATCGGACCCATATCATGGGCCAACCAAACTGGATTGGCTGTTTTCTTTGAATAAGTTTTTAAAAACAGAAAGAAGAGAAAAGAAATTAAAGCTATCCGCAACACTAAACCTTCCACACTTTCGCTTTATTCGATTATGATTCAACGCGAAAGGTACTCATCACTGAGTTTGGTTTTGGGGAGACACAAATGGGTGTCTACACCATCAAAATTCAAAAGTCCCACCAACAATCTCTACCATGGAAATTTGTTTAGAGAAATAAAACATCCCCTCAAAGTAATAAGGAGGCCAGGTAGAATCGAGGCTAGGGACTTCTCTACCTCCTGAACCCTTATACTTTCCAAATCACTAAGAACATATTCTTCTACCCCATCTCAAGATTGGCTGATCTAAATGGAATTTGCCAAATAGGCTAACTATAGTAGACAAACTATAAATTATAATCTTAATATATCACTTTACAACTCCATCAAATACTTACATCTTCAAGCCAAAATCATTAAATCAATAATTTTTCCTATAAATTGTCAACTTTAAAAAAATTAAGAAGCAATAACAATCCACATTATCAATCCTAAGTCTGAGACACAAACTCAGAACCACATAATCACAAATTTACCCCAGATAAATCTAAAATAAACATAGTAAAATTTAAAAAATCATACCCCACTTCATAAAAATTAAAAATGTCATCATACCCTAAAAACGTAACAATTAAATTTCCCAAAAAAATTCATCAACCTAGAAACTTGAACTAAACCCCACCATTACCTTATACTTCAATTCAAAAGAAATCAATTTCGGATATTAGTCCTCATTACATCATTGATCATTTCCAACAAGTATCAAACCCTAAGAGAGTGAAATCAAATTAAAAGAAAACAATTGCAAAATCAGAGATACCTTGTATGAAATTAGAGAAATTTTTTTAGGTTTTTGAGAATCGGGAAGAAGATTGAGGTCGACATCTGAATAAATGAGCTCAAATCAGAGCAGTACCACCACCGGATTTATTACCATCGCCTACGAGTTCATCACATTCCTCCTAACCGTTTTTAAAAATCGGATCCTTTATCACTAATATCTTCTTTGCCATTTTCAAACTTTAATGAGCTCAAATGGTTAAAAATGGTTGAAAATGGTGAAATATGGGTTGAAAATGGTGAAATAAGAAATGACTGAGTACTTTTTTTTACACAGAATGATCGAGTACTTCAAATGGGTCAAAAGCAAATAAAAAATCAAAAAAGTAACTTTATATATCTAATGTATTATACCATATATCAATATACAACCTTTTTTCTTTTTATTTTGCATATACTTCACTTTTTATTGTTTACCGGGCCCCACCCCGTTGAAAGGAAGCATTGTTCTGTTAAATATGCATTTGCTAATGCATATCCAAACTTCATTTCTACTTCCTCGTTGTTATAAAAACAAGATCTAACTCTAACAATAGTTTTCATGTACTTGGATCTTATGCCTTTTTTTAGGCCTTACCTAATTTCAACTTCGGGCTTAGACTTTGTACTAGCTATATTAGTATCTTAACTAGTATAGTGTCCGTGCGATGCACGGTTTATAAATCAAATTATTAAACCCGTAGGAAAAATAAAAATGAAAACAAAGGTAATTCATTTGCTATTAAGGGACTTGATTACTAATGGTCAATAAAAAAAAATTAAAGAAATGTTATTTGAATAGTATTCTATGTTATTTGAATTTCTTTTAATTTTTTATAATGTTATTTTATTAATTGAAAAATAATTTAATAATACTCCACATAGCTATATAAGAAGTGAACTAATTTATTTATATCTCTTGTTGAAAAAAACTAAAATTTTCTTATCATACCATCCGCATCAGTAGCTACAATCAATCTTATATATACATGTTTTATTTACCCGTCGCACTCATTAAATCTATAGACACAATAATAACCTTATATATATTTGACCTACCAGAACATATATTTTCCTAAGTTAAGCATTGTGCCAAAAACTATATATTATATAATAGTCATATATATAACCAACAGCTGATTAAATTAAATTTAATATACAACACAAATACTTCGTATATAGATATGGATACTAATATATAAATAAAATATACGGAGTATATATTACTAAGATTTATCCCTACCTTAATTATAAAATGGTTAACAAAACTCTTATAATAGTGCATGGACATTTATATATCTAAAAATGTTCTTTTTACATATATTTTCCCCCATTTAATTTTAAAAGCCTTAAAATTGTCTCTTGAATTCGCTAAATTGATTTAAAAGGTTATGTTTATTTCAATATTTAAAGCCATTTACTATTTTCATTTCCTTTTGTTTTAATTTTTCTATTTAGAATTTATTAGACTATTAGGTTTCAAGATCAAAGTCAATATCTTTTTTCCGTACAATCACTAAATCAAAGTCCCTCAACTAAAGTTTTGGACATTTCATAGTTACACAACATCCAACACATTTATTGATTATATGCAAATAATTTTAATAAAACTACGCATTCGATATAAGTTATTAAACAATTTAACTATATATACATTTTGATAGGTTTATATCTTTCATATTAACAAAAATTTACAAATGTTATTATTATATTTAGAAAAAAAATTTAGACTTTGGAGTTTTGTATAAGATAGATAAAGGATAAGTTAATTCCCGTCATATATGCATTGAGTTTTGGGTGTCTATCCGGTCCACTCTTTGGGCTAATCCAGATTTGAGGATCTGTTCTAGGCTATTAGGTTCCACTCCCCTTCCGATTGTTGTTGCAGGGGAGCAAACACAGGTCCTCCTTACCAAGTGTAGTCTCAATCACCACTACACCAACAACCAAACACTTGGTATGGAGGACACGTGTTATAAAATATTATAATATATACATATACTTTTTTATATTATAAAAAATATTATATTATATATACATATTATTATAGTTAAAAGTATTATTATGTATAAAACAACATAAATTATTGCACATGATTGTTGTATATCTAGTATAGTACATGAGCAATGCACGATTTTTAAATCAAAATGTTAGTTTTTATAAAAAAAATTCATAAGTAATAGCATTGTTAATACGAATATTACAATTTAAAACACGAGTAATAGTTATAATACATTTTATATCTATCCTTTTTCCGTCAAATGTCTAATTCAATTTAACATTTATTCTTCTTGTTTAGATTGGTTATTGGTTCAGTTTTTTTTTTTTTAATTGCAAGAAAAACAAAAGGTCATTGTAAAAGACATTGTATAGAAAATGAAAGGCCGATTAAAATTAAATTTTTGTTCAAGATTATGTATTTTTTTCCAAGACAACATTTCGGCTCAGCATTAAGTATTTGTCAAGGAGTACAACAAACGATAAAAGTAATTTTTACACTATTTTGTATCTTTATCAAAAACTTTTGTATTCAACCGATTACTTGAATTGAATTTAGGATAACTTGTAGACTATTTTGGGTAACTTTTATCAATAAAGCATAAATAACTTTCATTCATTACAGGGTAGCTTTTATAATAGGTGCACAATATTTTATTGTACATCTGATTTTTTTTAAATGTTTGTATTGATTTCATAATTGACGTCAAACTAAATTATATCGATTTTATTTAATTTTCATAAAAAAAATATTAGCCTTTCAAAATACGAAATATTTGTTTCCTTAATTATACCACTATAATCATATTGTTTCAAATTAGTTATTATTCTTAAATTGACTATAAATAAAGATTGGAAAGACTTTATGGATTATTTGTAGTATTGGAAAGTATATATTTATTATAAAAAAATTAAATCAATATTTATGTTAGGAAATCATGAAAATCTTATATGTGGATAGAAACTTGTTTTTATTGTTTGAAGTTTAACAAAAATAACTATGCTTATTGAATATGTAAACAGTAATTATATAGATACATTTTATACTTAAGATAAGCCAATGAGAGAGTGACATTTGTCATCCTCACATTGAGGCGCTTGTCTTTTAGTATAATATTTAGATTAGTTAAATTTTACAATTAAACATTTTTTTTATTTAGAAAATCATATATTTCGAATATCCAAAAGAGATGGAAGCCCCCTACAAGAATTTACAATTGAGATCAGAAGAAAAGAGATGGAAGTGAAGAGAAAAAAAAGGAGAAGAACGAAGGAAAACCTTCAAAAGAGCAAAAAAAAAAAATCTAGCACTGGAGGCTAGAAAACCCCCCCAAGGGAAAACCCTAGAGGAAACCAAAAAACCCTCCCAAGGAAAAAACCTAGAGGGAACAACAAGATGTAAGTGGGGTTAATTTATTTTTACTAAATATAAATTATTTTTACAGATTAAAACCAATTATCTTTACTAATTAATTAAAAACCGATTTCATGTTATACCCCTTCCGTACCATAAAGGTATTTCAGTATTCCGTTTAAGGTCGTTTCATAAAGATGTTTCAGTTTCTACTTTATTCCTCTTTTGGTAAGTAAATACTATTTTTCTAATACCCCTTACCCCACCACATGGGTCTACTTTATCTATTTAACATTACCCATGTGTCTAGACAAGTTTATCTCTCCTACACTAAAAGTCAAAGAAGGAACCCACTTGCATTTGTTTATTATTATTCCTTGGTCTATGGAGCTATAGTGAACTAGAACATTTTTGTGGAACGGAGGGAGTAGTTATTCTGTAATTCTACTGATTTTTACTGATTAAAACTGATTTTTACTTATTTGAACTTATTTTTACTGAAAAACTGATTTTTACTGAACATTTTTTTTTCAAGGTGAAGAGAACAAGGCCTTGGTAGATTAATGCTATGTTCAATTCAACTTATTCAAGGAGTTAAGTGCTTATTTTAAAAAAAATATATCATATCAGATCAGAAAACATCAAGTAGATCAAAATACTTCAATTTAGATCAGAAAAATTAAGATCAGATCAAATCAATATTTTTAAACATTGTACTTAAAACAAAAAATAAACATAATAATGATGATGATAATAACAATCAAAGTAAAATGATTGCAATAGTAATAATAGTATAAATTACAACAATTAATGCATCATAGATTACATCAAGCTAATTTAGCGAAAAATATATCGTTTGACAAACTTCCATCTAAACTAGTTGTTAATATGCACTGTATATACGTTTGTTATTAACAATAAATAATGAATCAATATTAAAAATTTTATTTTCATTCAAAAGGAATACTTAAGTTGCACAAAAAAAAAAGTTGCTTGTGTCAAAAAAAAAGTTGCACAAGCAACTTATATATATGACCAAGTATTCTATACTCTAAGAAAGAAAAACTATCCAAAACCATTTAAATAATTTTTTATACTTAGGCCATGTTCACTTCAACTTCTTTTTACTGAACTTAAATTATTTTTACTGATTAAAACTGATTTTTACTTATTAGAACTTATTTTTACAATTTTAAAACTTATTTTTACTGATTAAAAATGATTTTTACTAATTAAAACTTATTTTTATTGATTTTATGGTGTATTTGTTCTTCGAGTTTACTGAATTTTACTGATTGAAACTGGTTTTTACTGAACTGAACTTATTTTTACCGATTTTAAAACTTATTTTTACTTATTAAAACTTTTTTTACTTATTAAAACTTATTTTTACTGAATATTATTTTTGTAAAGTGAAGTGAACAAGGCCTTAGTTGACTTAGAGTGGTTCTGTATACACCTAAAAATGTCTCCCCAAAACCAAACCCGTTGATGAACACCTTTCACTGCCATTATTGGTCGGGTTGAGTATTTAATCTTTGGGGTGCTTAAATCCATGTTCTATCCAATATATTTCATGAACCAATCCAATTTCTAGCTCATTTCCCTAAACCATAACCTATTTTCCACTTTTCGTGTCCACGTCGCTATACAATTTTGATCCAATTATTATTTTTTTATGGTTATACAATTTTGATCCAATTATTATTTTTTTGGATAGGCCTTTAAATAAACTTTTCAACCATATATCATAAGCCCAATTCCGAGCTATAACGAAAAAGATATGAGCAAAACACTAAACTCGGCCTAAAACCGACACCCTTCTACTAAAACGGCCATATCTTAAAATCTACAAATCATTTTGACCTGATTCTAATTGGGTTGGAAAGTATACTTGATAAGCTTTCCAATGAAAACGCCGCGACGCGGCAAATGCTGATGTGTCACGGGGCTTATTCCCGTGACACGGTGCCCTTTTTGTGTAATTCTGCACATTTAATCCACTGTGTCACGGGATTTTGCACCGTGTCACGGTGCAATTTCCCGTGTACGGTGCCCATTCCGTGACACGGGGATATTCCATGTAATTTCTGCGTACTTTTTACACCGTGACATGGCATACTGCACTGTGCCACAGTGGACAATGCTGTGTCACGACATGTCTTTCCGTGTCACGGTGCACATTCCGTGACACGGGATTGCTTTGTGTTTTCTCCACGTAATCCCTAAACGCGTTTTCACTTCCCATAACCTAATTATTTCCCGCGTCACTCAGTTTTCCCCGTGTCACGGACTCACGGGATCTTCCCCCGTCTGACAGTGCCTGGCACCGTGTCACTATGCTCTTTGCCGTGACACAGTGTTATTTTTTTAGGGTTTTTATCTTTTTAGGGTTCCGCGTGTTCCCTCTGCTCATTTTCCCTATAAATAGGCCCCTCCTTTCCGTAGTTCGGGGCACCAATAATCATTCTCTCTCACCTTACACAAAAAAATCATTCTCTTCTCCCTCTTTAACCTAATTTCTAGCCTCCTTATTCTTCCATAATAATTCCCCTAAGCGCTCCAAGGAGTCTATACTTAACCCGAGGTTCCGTCCTTTAATCAAGGCGTGAAATGTACAAATAATTGAGGGTTTTGACCAAATCAACTCTACTTTTTATTTAATTTAATTTAATTTTCATTTACTTTATATTTTTTTATTGAAGTTACTAACATTTTATTCATGATGTAGCAATTTAAAGGAACGTGCGGAATGTGAGTAATTAATTAATTTAATTACTTATTTTATTTTTACATTGCTGGTATCATGATTAGTTTTATTTATTATTCGATTTGACTAACGCTATTATTGTTAAATTGCTTCCAATATTAATGTTTATTTTATTATATTTTATGATCACCATATTTCATGTTAAAAGGAATATGTAATTGAAAATCACGACTAATAAGATAATTTGGACAACCGGTTTAGGATATTTTTTAATCTTGTTATTTAATTCAAGTGATCACGATATTGTAGAATCATATGTTGCATTAATATTTAACCAATTTAGCTTAATAATAGTTTGGAGCAAATTGAATATTTTGTTTGTATGCCTTTGAGATCGTAGGAATCACTTTTCACTATAAGAATCGAGTAGAGGCCAATACGGGCGAATGTGACTCCATGACTCACTTTGTACCATCATCCCCGATCCTCCTTTCGTGGTTCTGAATCATATGGAGTTAGTAATCTCATGGATTATGAATGGGGTGTAACCTTCACGGGTCAATCGTTGTTGCCTATCGTTGTCCCTTTATTCGTGGTTGTCTTTTATGATCCGTGAACGGTTTACAAGTTCCTTAAATACTTGTTGGCGGCTCCCTACTTTCCTTGTCCCTAATTGTATATGTCAATTCCCACTTCCTAAGAGTGCCAAGCATATTCACACATGCTTTAACGTAGGCGCACTTCGAACGACGCCTACAGGTTCATAAGCTGCTTGTATAGTAAGTTTCACTCTGAAGGGATATGAGGTGAATTAAGTGATGCACTAACAAATTATTAACATCCGGTTAACAAAAAGGGTAATTAGATGTATTCATCAAAAACTCGGGGTATTTGGTGAATTTTGAAAATATTACGGGTATTTCATGAATAAACTGAAAACTCGGAGACATTTCATAAAAAAACTAGTTTATAAAATGAGCACAATGTTAAAATTAAGTGGAAAGCTTTGGCATATAAACGGTACTAGCGCTATATGCACACGATGTGTGCAAAATTTCATTATAGAGATGATAGAGTAATTGTTTTCCTTTTACAATTATAACCTTACTAAAAGGGTATTATAGGTATTTTATGTGGACATCATTCTCTCACCCCTTCCCTTATATAATAGAGATACCTCAAATTAAATTTCGCAAGTTCAATTTTAGAAGTACATGTACATGACAGTTGACACGCATTGTGCCTAAGAAATGTAGTGATCATGAGTCAGAGTAGTCTAAAAGGTTGGCATTTGAATTAGGGGACCTTGATGTATACTCTGCTACAAGTTTTGAGAATGAGGATGACTTGTTATGTAACAACCTCATAGGAGAATCATACTCTTCGACGGATCCTGCAAAAGACATCACAAATACATTAAATTGTAGAGATGCATCATCAACTTCAATTGAATGTATTGGAGGTAGAGTCTAAGAAATATAAGAGTTACACCCTCCGTCTCTTTTTATATGCTACATTCTGACTTTGGACACTATTTATATAGAAAATTTGACCGTCTTTAAGTTTATATACGTATGGAAAAATATAGTCATATAGGATCTTGTTTGATTCGTCTCAATATGTATTTTCCAAATATATAATTTTTATAATTTTTTCCTATATATAATTTGAGATACTAAGTTTTGAAATTGTGTCCCAAAAACTGTGCAAAAGAGAATGTAGCATATAAAAAGAGACGGATGTAGTATATATCTACAGATAGGAGGTATTAGTATTACCTTGACTAAGAAGCAAGACCATATCGCTGTCAAGAACTGAAGTAATGCGATGTGCAATGATAATGAGGGTACAATCAGAAAAATGGTGCTTAAGAGTTTGCTGGATAAGATTATCGGTGGTTGTGTCAACTGAGGCAGTTGCTTCATCAAGGACTAACACCTTGCTTTTCTTGAGTAGTACTCGTCCAAGGCAAACTAGTTGTCTCTGACCCATGCTCCAGTTCTCCCCATTCTCATGAACTGTATGCATTGTTGCAAAAACCAAGCATTGGCATCTGTTTAAAAAACTTTGTATATACAAGTCACAAATATAATTGGAATTAATAGATATATAAACATACCTCTAGAATCCAACTTCTGATCCATCTTCCTCACCTCATCTCCGAGTTGACACATGTCTAAAGTCTGAGTAAATTATAAAGCATTTGAGTTAGCAAGTATAGTTTACTCAAAAATTATTTACCAAGGGCAAAAGACAAAAACTCACATCCCATATTTGTTCATCTGTGTACTGCTCAAGTGGGTCTAAATTGCTTCGAATAGTTCCTTGAAACATGGTTGGATCTTGAGGTATAATGCTTAGTCTTGATCTCAAATCTTGGAGTCCAATTGTTGAAATATCAATGCCATCAATCACAATACAACCAGCGGTAGGTTCAACTATCCGGAAAAGTGCCTGTATCAAAGTTGATTTACCACATCCTGTTCTTCCAACAATACCTGTTTTCATCCCTCCCGGAAACGTGCATGTCACACCGTGTAGAACAAGTGGCAAATGTGGAGCATACTGGACCTGCAAATGATGAATACCGACTTCCCCATGTGATGGCCAAGAACAATCCGGCCTGTTTTCTTCTATGATAAGAGGAGCCTCACTTGGAATGGTCATGTATTGAAGAATTCTCTCCACCGTTATCATTTTGTTTTCACAATGGGAGAAACTCCATATTAGCGCAATTAGGCTCTGGTTAAGGGTGAGCCCATACATCACAGCTAACCCTGCAATTGCTGTGCATGAAAACAAAAGTTGTAAATTAAATTTACCAAGAAGAAGGAAATCAAAGAAAAGAAATTGATACAATATAACATACCAGGATCTAAGCTTTCTGCAAAGTACATCATGAGAACCAAAAGGAAGGCAAATGTAATGCAAGAGAATATATCCAGCCGCAACATTAGCCATTTCATTGCGGCAGCAAGTTGGAACTCAGGGCGAGAATATGCATCTACTATTTTCATATAAGTTGATTGGAATCTTGACTCTTGATCAAAGCTCCTAATAGTTGATATTCCAGAAATTGTTTCAGTAAAATATTGAATAACAGGAGCTTCGCAAACTCGACTCAATCTCGATAGTTCTCTTGATGCAGGCATATAGTATTGCTGCATTTAGTAAAATAGACGCATGGTGCTTCAGAATATGGTCGGGAACGGTATTGACATACTATAGGTTCGAAGCCAAGTATTTATTCAGCAAAAGGCCAGTTTAAGTGGTATAGATATCAAAATGACAAAATCCCAATTGAAAGCTAAACACAGATATTGATCAATCTTACTTTCTGTAATAATATAATCATATTAACATGATTTTGGTAAGATCAATAAACAAAAAACAAAACGTAGAAGCAAACATAATCTCGGGCATCCTATTTTTCCCAATCTGTAGGTTACATAATGCCTAATCAAAGAAAGTGTTAGGTTGATTTTTTTATCCACTTATTTTGAGAAACTTTTAGTGTCCCCTTCACCTATATATTGAATGTAATATACATAGAAATTCAATTCACCTACTTTTCATACATTATCACCAGTTATTTGTAGGATCACATCCTTAAAAGGAATTACCTGATACAAGATGGAAGCGAAAAGCAAGGGGACGAATATGACCAAAACCTCCCATGCTACTGTAGACATCACAGCAATAATTCCCAGAAGTTGGACGATGTCAAAAATAAGGCCATGAAGTAGGGACGGAATTCGAGTCTCCACAGAACTTTGATCTGTTGAACACTAAATAAGATGAAGTGTATTGAACTAGTTAGTAAAAGAAGATTAAACCTAATATCTCTTTTGTGACAAGTGTTAATCAGACTCATCATTTCATCTCAAGCACCCGTTATGTATCCTCAATACTCCAACATAGGTATGACACTTACACTTCTTTTCATAAAAAAAATGGAAATTTATGTGAACTAGTCAAAGTCTGACAGAGTGCCTGAGTCCTAGTAGCATAGATTGTGATTTATATTTACTATTCTAGTTATTTGGGAACAGAAAAAATAAATTAAGTTAGATGAATGATCATGACTTACTCTGTTGAGAATTCTTCCAGTAGGTGTAGCATCAAAAAAGGACATAGGAGCACGGAAAATGGTCGCAAGCATTCTATTGAAAAGTAGGGTAGCAGTTTTGTATCCTGTGGCAAGAACAAGCATGTCTACAACAAAGGTGCAGAAACATATGCCAATGGCCAAGGATGCATAGACAATCATTAGTGTGGATCCACTAACAACAGGTCTAACATCCTTTGACGATGGAGATGCCCATGCTAACCAATAATTGCTCCCTATTTGAAGAATTTGTAAGATAATTGAGGCTAGAACTACAAGAATCACTAGAACCCCTCCATATGCAGTTGTAATGTATGTCCAATAGACTAGAAATCCGACTCTTCCCCTCTCTCTTTCTTCTTCTGATATGAGTTGTGATGCAGGTGGCAATCCAGCAGGTTCATTATCTGCTTCACCATCCACATTGATGATACTTGCTGTGTCGTCTGCAGAATTATGAAATGCCTTGTTGGAATCAAGTGTAGACGACAGAGCAGCACTTTGTGCACCTACAAGTTGTATAAAATCGGACCCTTGAACAAGGATGTCATCGTACTTCCCAACTTGTGCAATCCTTCCATTTTTCATGACCTTGTAAGAAATTCAAAGTAACAATAAGATTTGTCATAGAAGTTAGGAGACTTGATATAAGTGAAGAAAAGTAGAAGCTATATTATTACTGAACTCACCACAATTAGATCGGCAGCGTTTAAGAACTCAACTTGATGAGTAACATATATAACAGTTTTCTCCCTCAGAAGACCAAGCAAAACTTCCTATAATCCAAAATAAAAAAAAATGGTATTTCTAAATTAATACTTTAATAATCTTTCTACTTTTGTGCATATAAAACAAAGGAATGATATAAATAATTTCACCTTAAATAAATGAGAACCAGTATGAGCATCAACAGCACTAAAAGGATCATCAAATAGATAGATATCTACATCATGGTAGAGAGCACGAGCAATTTGTATTCTTTGCTTCTGTCCTCCACTTAGATTGATACCTCTTTCACCAATAACAGTTTGATCACCAAATGAGAGGATCTCCAAGTCCTTCTTAAGACAACAAGCTTCAAGTACTTGATCATATCTTTGAGGGTCCATCTCCTTCCCAAACAATATGTTCTCTTGAACTGTACCACTTTGTATCCAAGGTGACTGTGCAACATAAGCCTTCGTCCCACACAACTTAATTGCTCCTGTTATCTTAGGCATTTCACCCAAAATGCAAGAAAGTAAGCTCGACTTGCCTGAACCAACAATACCACATATGCCAACCTTCATACCATGATATACTTTAAGGTTTATATCTTTTAATGTTGGATTGGCATGTGGTGAATTATTATCCCATGTAAAGTTCCCATCAACAATCTCAATTGATATATCAGAACTACCCAATGGAAGCTTCGCTAAACCATCATATTGGATCACATCAAGAGAAAGAAAAGAGGCAATTCTTCCAAGGGAAACCTTGGCTTGAACGAGTAAGGATATTGTATCGGGGAGGAGGAAGATAGGCTCTTGAAGAACCCGAAAGGTTGCAAGTGCGGACAAAATCTGCCCCATTTCGAGTGGGATTCCAATATATATACAAGAACTAAAAGTAACCAAAGCCACAGACGTTGGACCTATTCCATAAAAAAAACTTATCACTACTGAACTGTATAGATACTTCTTCAACCATTGCATCTCAACCTTTCTTATTTGAAGAATCTTAGACAAAAAACTCATCCCCCATCCTTGAAACTTAAGAACTCTCATATTCCTTAACGTCTCAATAGTAACCTTCATTCTGTTATCCTTAGATTCCATTAATTTCTTTTGAAACTTTTTCTGCCATGTGATAAATAAAGAATTTGCTACCATAAAAATAAATGTTACAACGAATGCACCAACAGAGGCAAGAACTCCCAACTTACTGTATAAAATAAGCAGTGCTATAGAAATTTGGAAAAAGATCAACCATGTATCATGCAAGTAGACAATGAAACCTTGAATTTTCTCGACATCAACAGCCACGGCATTAATAAGTTCTCCTCCACTCCTACTACCACCCTGATCGCCTTGCAATTGTGATGATGCGGAGGGAAGGGCCAAACACTTTTCATAGAGCATTACAGTTATCACCCCACGAATTCTAAGTCCAATTTGTTGCATCTTAAAGATCCAGTGTCTTCGTATGAAATCCACAAGAAAAGTTGAGGTACAAAACGTTAAAGCAAGAATGTAGCCTTGATTATGAAATATCTCCCTCCCACTAAGACATTGAACAAAATCATCAATGAGATATGGAGCAATATATTGAGCTAATGTGTATAATATAGCCAATAAAGCTGTCCAAATAATTTCCTTCCAAACCGACAAGAAGAATGCCTTTGTAAGCCTGAACTCAGTAGTTACAACTCTATTCTTACGAGTACCACCAACATTATGAAGAAGCCTACTTTGGAACACGGGAACTGCTCCAAATACGCTATAAGAAATGCCTAGTTGAGGGATATCGTCAAGGTCTAAGGTGTTTTTCTCAACACCAAGAGCAAGTAATGGAGTTAGCCAAGAAAAAAAAAGAGTACGTAAAAGACCAGCATTTTCGTAAGGAGTTACTGTATCACACCCTCTAGCCTTAACCTTGCTATTTGAACAAGAATCAACATGATCCAAAAGGGGCTCTTCAAGATTAGAGACATCTTGATTCTCACTTTTCAAGGACCCTACAAAAGTTTGATAGAGAATCAAGACAATGAATTTCATATGCATTTGCTAATTTCTACAAGAATTGTCAACGATTTCATACGCACTAGTTAATTTTTAGGAAATTTTGTAAATAACCACCCCTAAAAGCACACTTTGTTGAACTAACCACCCTTTTTTTACAAAATTATAGAATACCACTCCTTAAACTTAATTAAAACCATTGGCGGTCACCACCCTTTCTCATATTCCAGCCAGTATTCCGACTTAAGGAAGACGATGAATCGTTGTCACTTCAACCTAGAATCACTGTCGCTTCAACCTAGAATCATTGTCGCTTCAACTTTGATAGGTATTCGATTTAGATGAATTAGTGAAGAGATTCCTTTGTAATTTCCTTGATTTGGTGCAAAAATAAGTAGATTTTGAAAATTTTGGGATATTGTTACGGAGTGTTAGTTTCAATACTTTCAACTGAAGGGAGGAAAAAAATTGAACCTTTATAAAAAGCCCATAGAGTAGCCGTTATGTAGGCCTCTAAGTCAAAATTAGCCGGAATATGAAAAGGGGTGGTGAATGTGATCGCTAAGACCACACTGATGGTATAAAAAATCATCCCTCTCTCTACCACTTCCTCACCCCTCCACGTTATTTATATCACAACATAATATACTTTCCTCAAAAATAACCCCACCCATGGTATAAAAAAAGTTTACCACCACACTTTCGCTCTCCTATATGTATTAATTATACAATTAATTTAATTTAATTATAATTATAATTTATTTTATTATTGGGAATAACTAATTAATGTTTGTAAAGTTAATTAAATAAAATAAGCAATTTAGGTACTAAAAAGCAAATTTGAAAAAAATATATAAAACTATATCAATATGGGTGTCTATTTGTAGCTCTTGAAAAATTATGATCTATGGTAATTTTTTTCATAATTATTACTTTATAATTTTTTCTTAAAATGAAATTGAAAAAAATAAAATAAAAAATACATATAACCAGGCCACATGGCGTGACCTGATTGGTTTATGTTACACGGGGACCAAAGCAAATGTTTACTATGGGATGTTTTATACCATTCAATTCCATGGTATACTTTTACACCATCATTGTAGTAAAAATTATTATACTTCCTCCGTTCTTTTTTTATTGCACCATAGGAGGTTGACACAAGATTTTTGGTAGTGGAAAAAAGGATGAGAGAGAAACGTAAAAATATAAGATTGTCCATGTGATTGTATACATAAAAAAAATTAAGTGTTGAAAAGTAAGGGTATATTTGGTATTTATAGTGTGAACACTAGGGGTGAACATGGTCTGGTTTGGTGCGGTTTGAGTCTAAACCAAACCAAACCGCAAAATACGGTTTGGTCAATTTTCCAAACCAAACCAAACCATATTAGTATTGAAACCAAACCAAACCAAACCGTAATAATGCGATTTGGATTGCAGTTTATGATGAAACGACATTTTTTTCCTAAAAATTGTCATATATTAATAAACTTATAATAAATTTCAAATAATTAGCCCAAAGGAATTGAATTATACTACAAATTTTTAATAAAAATAACAACCAACTAATCAAGTGCTAAGTGCTAACACAATAACACATAATAAAAATAATACATAACAAATTAACAGTGGAAAAAAAACATAATACTTTGTCCAAAATAATAATTCATACTACATTATAGTTATATGACCTATTGAATTTTAAGTATTGATATTTGAGATTGAGTATAGAGTCTAGTAGTATACTGACCTTATAGTTTTCTAATGATTTTTCATTTTTTATTTTTTTTATAATATATAATAACTATTTTAATTTATTTAAAAAGTATATAAATATTAAAATGCGGTTTACTGGTTTACGGTTTGGTTTGGTTTATAATTTTTGAAAAACCAAACCAAACTGCAAACCGTATTTCCCAAAAAATCGAAAACAAACCGTAAACCAAACCAAACCGCTAAAATGCAGTTTGGTCTGGTTTGGTTACGGTTCAGACCAAACCGTGTACAGCCCTAGTGAACACAAGTATTTCTTTTCCTAAAATAGAAATGGTGTACTATTTGTGATAGTTCCTTGAAAGGCAAGTGGTGCAATATTTAAAAAACGGAGGAAGTATTTTGGATGAATATTTATAATGTGATATAAAATTATACCACGAGTGTTGATCCTCCAACGGTTTAAGTTTAGGGGTGGTATTATATAATTTTGTAAAAAAGGGATGGTGAGTTCGACAAAGTGTGCTTTCAGGATATTTCCTAGTTTCTGCAAGAATAGTCAAGGATTTATACAGTGATATACTGAGTTAAGCACACAATTAGGTACTTAATTGTTAAAAATTTCACCTTTTAGGTACTCAATTATTTTTACTTTGCTTTTGGGTACTGAGTTAAGAAATTAGGCCAAAAAAATTAAATCAGCCAAAGAATTCAGTACCTTGGGTTAAAGAATTTAGTACCCTTGGTTAAGTATGTGGGCCCCACCCGATTAAAAAATTCGAAAGTCAACCCATTTTTTTTCCCTTTCTTTTTCTTTATTCCCCTTTTTGCTCCTTTATTCATTCCCATTTCTGGAAACTTTTCTGCGAACGTCGAAGAACAACGAGCAACCTTTGTGCTTGAATTTGGGGAAAACGACACCAAAAGCCGCCATTTTTTTGAGGTAAGCTCAATTTCTCATCGTTTATGTTGTTAATTTGATATAAATTTTGGATTTTTTGCCCATTTGTTGATGTTTGTTGCGACCTAGGGTTTTCGAATTTTGGGGTTTTTTTTTTGAACAAATTGATGATGTCGATTGGTTGTGGTTTTTGTGTTAAATTTGGGTTTTCAAATTTTTTTTTTTTTGACAAATGGTTTTGGATGAATTTGTTAAGCAACAATGGCTGATTTTGTGGCAGAGTTGAACTACCAGCAGCAGGGGGAAGCAGCAGCCTTTCTGTTTCTGGTTTTTTTATTTTTATTTTTTTTTCTACAAAATCTGGCAAAACCTTGCAGAATTTATGCCTAAATAACATGCTCAATGAACCTGTTTTGTTGCTGGTTAAGCTGCTGTTTTTGATGAATTTTCTTGCTGTTTTTGATGAATGAATTTTGATGAATTATTATTGATGAATTTTGATGAATTTTCTTGCTGTTTTTGATGAATTTCTGCCAGGTTCATGCCTCTTTAAATAGAGAAACCAACGGCTAGTTTCTTAGTCAAATTTAATACAATTTTTTTTAAAATATTAATTTTTTAATCGGGTGGGGCCCACATACTTAACCAAGGGTACTAAATTCTTTAACCCAAGGTACTGAATTCTTTGGCTGATTTAATTTTTTGGCCTGAATTCTTAACTCAGTACCCAAAAACAAAGTAAAAACACTTGAGTACCTTAACTCTGATATACTCCGTCTATTAAAGAAAAACAAAGAAAAAACAAAATTGAACTGCTATAATAATTATGCGTTGAATCGTCTACTTAAATACTAGTACCAATGTACCATGAATGACACTATAACACCGACCTAAACAAAATCACGGAATCTCCCGAAAAAAAAAAAAAAAAAAAAAAAGAATTGGTAGTTTTGGTTTTTTTTTTTTTTTAATCAATTTACTACTTCATAAACATTGGCGGACTATTATTACAAGGGTAATGTTATATGTAGTTCTAAGGGTTATATAAGCATAAAATATACTTTTGGAAATTGTATAAAATTAGGAATTCATGACAAAAACACGCATAAATCAGTGTTATTAGTGTTTATATTTATATTTTTTTTTAACTTTTTTACGATTTTCAAGTGTAAATTTAATGCCTATATGTAGCCTTAAGGACTATGTATAACATTTTCCTTATTACAAATACTACAAAAAATATTTACAAAGACATGTACCAATTACCTCGAAACCACGGAAAGATAATAATCACTTGACTAAATAAGCTAAGACAATTAATTTCCAACGAATGAGTAGAAGTCCGTGACCAAGATAAGTACTACTTCCAGTCCAAATTACTCGCAACTATGGGTATTATTTGTGAGATATATAAAATATTTCAAAGTTACTGAATAATTTGGACCAGAGATAGTATAAAAAACATATGATAAATTAAGAATCTGAATATTCTTGTATGATAAAAAAAAACAAAGAATTAAGTATTAGTAAAATTTTTAAAAAGAAAAGGACAAGAAGGGAAATTGAAAATAATATATGCGTTTGCAATCATTGATCACCATTGTTGAATGTTAAAAATGAAATCACTAATAAAAAGCATAAATGTTCATTAATTAGGGAATAATATAGGAGTATATTATAATTGATGCTGTAAAAAAAATACCTCGAGGCATTGTGATGATTATACAACGTTGGATTATGATTTATGAAGGGAAGAGTAAGTGTTGGTGAGAATACCGGCGAGTAAGTGTTGGAGAATGGAGCCAGCAGGAAGGAGTCTACGCTGCATCACGCATTGCCTATTCTATCTTTTCTTTTTCCTTCTGAAAATTATAACTACCTTATAGAGAGGAGGGCCACCTCAGAAGCTCTGTGACGTATGTTAAATTTGACCATAGTTTTGTCAAAAAAAAAAATTGACCATAGTTGTTTTCAATTATTACTAGCCGAGTACTCGAGATAGGGAGTCAAACTTAGTGGCTCTATTATAGAACTGTGTTTGATGTAGCGCAACCCATAACCATAATAAATTGAAGATGAGCAACTTACATATGAGCGGTCGATAGAGATGGGACAACTTTTTAAGTATATGCGGCTATTTCACCAAATGTCATTAAAGTTTTCAAAATTCACCAAATGTTTCTAATTAACTTAATAACTAATCTATTTTAAAATCTTGCAATGATACAAAATTTGAGAGAATCTTCTAAATTATTCTGAATGTATAATAAAAATGTGAATTGACAAGCATGCATAATAGAAAAAGAAAGAAAACCTTTGAATTTACTAACTTCTTCGTGTTTTTTTAAGTGTTACACTTTCCATTTTCGGTCGTGGTTTTTTAAGTGTTACACTTTCTTTGTTTGGTAAAAAACTACATTAAAATTTATATCTATCTTCTCTTATGGTCCCCACCCAAATCCAGTACCACAAACTTTTAAAAAAATCGGGTGTACAATAATTATTGTACATCCATTATAAAGATAACCTAAAGTAATTAAAAGTTACCCCTGAAATGAAAAAAAGTTACCCCAATATGAGTTAAAGTAACCCAATTCAAATAAAAATTATCTACGCTTTATTAGTAAAGAATCAAATTTTAAATGACTAAATATCAATTATTAGTGATTGAATGTAATTAAATTGCCTTTATAAAACTTTTCTTGTTGTTGATTTATATAAAAATTGTATGCTTAAAGTTACCCAAAAAAAGACAAAAAGTTATCCTAAAATTAGCTAAATGTTACCCTTATACTACTCGATGTACACTAATATTAGTGTAAACCGAATGTATACAAAAGTTTTTGAATCCAGTACTACTTTTTTATTACTCCCCCATCCCCGAAAGAACGACTCATTTGGCCTAATTTTAATCCCAAAAAGAATGATCCATTTGCATTAAAACACCCATTAATTTGCAACAATATTTGTGCAAAATTAGCTTCACTCTATAAAAATTTGATTTTCCATGTAATTTTATTACTTTCTCTCTCTATTTTTTTACAAACCCCATGGAAATTTATCTTTCTTAATACTCACGTAATCAACCCAAATAGATCGTTCTTTCGGGGACGGAGGTAGTATATCTTTCCTCTCACATTCATTACTTTTCAATAAACTATTAACCCCACTATCTTTCTTTTACAAATTTTAATACTCCAATTTTAATTAAGACAATTAAATTGCCTGAAACTATGTGCTGGTCAAACTGTAACACTTAAAAAAAACGCGGAGGGAGTAGAACTTATTTTGCCTGAACTTACTAAAATACTATTCCCCCCGTTTTTAAATACTTGTTCCATTTCTCAATGTGCGGAGTTTTAGGAGAAATTGGAGAAAGTAACAAAATATGGAGGAAGTGGGGGTAAAAGTAGTGGAGAGAATATGAAATTAATAAAATATGATTTATGTTGAGTCCACTAGGTGAGAAATCAATTAAATATTGTAAATTTTTTAAAATAAAGTACTTAAAAATGGCCGGAAAAAAAAAGTGAAGCAAGTATTAAAAAACGGAGGGAGTATAAATATTGTAATGCCCTAGATAAAAACATGTACACGTCACCCTAAATTATTATATTTTGTCATATCAACTAAGTATTATCCTCAGAAAAGTCTACTACTCCCTCCGTTTCTTTTTACTCGCAACAAAAGGGGAAGAACGGACTCCTAGGCAAAATATTGAAACCATGATTAATGAAAAATAAGGGCATACACTTAAGTGTGTTAATCCTACTTAATTTTTTTTAAAAAAAATCAAAGTTAAAATCCCAGAAATTGGAATTCACGAAACACCACCATCACCTATCCACCTATTACCACCACCACCACCTGTCCACCTATCACCACCACCAACAAAGACCGAACCCACTACAACCCACCACCATCCATCAGCGATTTCGACCCAACATCGGCGCACCGCCCCCGATTTCGACCTAGCACCACCCCCTTCGACCCACAACCCCGGTTTTGCACCACAACCCACCACCTATTTCCTCCACAACCTCCGATTTCGACCCACGACCCCCGACCCACAACCCCCAATTTCGACCTAGCACCACCCACCTATTTCGCCCACAACCCCCCGAGAAATTCTGGGTATGGTAGTGGTGGTGATGGTAGTGGTGGTGGTTGACAATTGAAAGTGATGATGAATTTAATTGGGAGGGGAATGATTTTGGTGGAAATGGTTAAGTTAATTAATGTAAAGTTTAAGTTAATAAAGATAAAATCAGTAATTTAATTAGAGTGTTTAAAAACAAAAGTAAGGGTAATTTTGTAAAATCATAAAAAAAAACCTACCGTAAAAGAAAAGAAAAAAATTGTTGCAGGTAATGTGTAATGGCTAAAAATGGTAATTGTTGCGAGTAAGAAACGGAGGAAGTATTAAATTCATTATCGGTTCTCATTAAATTGTTTCTACTTAAGGTTTTGTTCTATCCGATTTATTTTGTCCCATCTACCAGTCTTACGTTGAAAATGGAAATGCATACATTTAATGCTGGCACTCTCTGTGTTGTATTCTTAATTATTTCTCTTGGTAATTAATAAATACCTCTTTAATTGCCAAAAAAAAAACGTTATTAGGTACTTATGACGCTTAAGTGCACTATAGCCAATTAAAAAAATACAACACAGAGAACATAAGTAGCAGTTTGTTGAGCGATAGTAGCCTTGTGATTGCGCCCCATCTAAAGACACGAAATCCCTAGACGGCCCATGCAGAGCACGTAAGTAGGCATAGGATATTTGTGCGAAAGAAGTCTTGAGCGATTCTTAAATTTTGAGTAGTAAATAGACAATGTTTTTGAGTTGCTTATCCTTAAAATTTTACATGAAAACTTGGAACTTAGAGTCAAACTATAAAGAAGGGAAACAATTGCGCAAGGCAAAGAGTAGAATTCAGTATTCCTAATGTCTTTAGTAAAACTGTAAAATCCTCTCACCACAGCCACAGCCACAACTGGAGCCGATGTGAAGATGATCACCACAGCGTCATTGAACTGCAATTCAAGAAAAATAAAAACATTGAAAAATACATCTTAAAAGTTCAGTTCAGTGTAAAGGATGTCAAAAAGGAGGAAAACTTACCCATTTGGAGCGGGCCTGAAGGGACTTGAATCTGGTGTCAGCTAATATTTTCTGAAGAGTTGCGGCACTGAAATCACCATGAAAGAGGAGAAACCTAATATAAATGATGTTCTGAAACTGTCTACATGTAAAACTGAAGGTGATTCAGACCTGCAGAGGCTGAGATTTGTGCATATACATCAGAAAAAACAAATTGATATTACTTTGAACAATAGACGTATTTACTGTGTTCCTTAGCTTAAGCTTCGCCGGTGTAATGAAGAATAAGTTCACCTTGATGAATATCTAACTTTATGTGGTTAAGAGAGTCAAATAAGTTACAGACATAGGCATAGAGAATGCAGTAGAAAGCTGCCATGATGGAAAATGGCACAACAGCGAAAAAGCTGTAAATTTTCCTGCATAACGAGCAATATTTACAAGTATGATATAAAGGAGTATATAGTAATCGTTTTTAGATCTTGGATAATAGCTCTTTCACATTTTACTGCGATAAGTTTTACATATAGGAAAGTTATTAGCTTTACCAAATGTTGAGAATAATAGCACAAAACCAGGAGAAATTTGGAAAACTCTTCTACTTCCAACTCTCGTCAATCCAAGCAGACCAGCACAAAACACACCAAAATATTGCCAACAATAAACATGAAAAGAAAACATTCACACTGATAACAATCTTACACTGAAGCAGTAGGGCCAGCCACAGCACCAAATACACCATTCAACAATGTCCCAACTCCCTAACTGAAACCGTTGTCAGTGTAGATCCAAAATAAGATGCAGCATACATGCAGTTACATGATCAAAGTTCACGTAGTAGTATGGGAAATGAAATCTTAATAACCTACTAGCCAGAAAGTGCCCAGGCTGATTAATGATGGAGGCACAGGCGTAGCACTTGCATATCATGCAGCTGCTATAAATGTGCCAGTACACGGCAGCAAAAAAGTAATTGAAAAAAATTTGAATGATATGAAACTATAGATTTAGTCACAATTATCAATGCTAATTTGAACAAAATGAATGCAATTATATTGTAGAGCTAACCTCAAGTCCTCAACCAATGCAACTAGTTCAGCAAAAACAATTGGAGTAGCTTCTCTCTGATTAACAGTTGGTTTTCCCCATTGAAATGGCCATGGCAGATATACCCTACATATACCAGAGTAGCGCAAAGAGATTTGACATGAATTGCTATTGACGGTTTTGCACAGTTTCTTAATCATTACTCACTCAATCACTAATAGTAGCCACATTTTCATTTTAAGCCATTCCAAGCTCAGAGGCCACTTTCCGATTTTCATATGCTAGAAGTTTTAACTTTTTCATCACCCTGAATAAAGTTACTTTACATATTGAAAGATAGTTCTGGAATTCTAATTCAATTTCTTAGAAATGACGCCCAAGCAAATGTGGAATATTATTAGGAACAAAAGGCATATTTACTTACAGCTGCAAGCAATTTATATGTACTGATTTCTGACCAATCAGCTTCATGTATCAGTTCTGCACGATCTGCTCGGCAACATAGCAGATTAGTTGGAAATCTGTGGTTATATACACCACTTGAAGTAAGGATTAAGGCATAAATCCAGGTGATTGTTGTCGAGAATATGAGTGCATATCGATCAAATATCAGTTTGTTTGCCTTCAAAACACCAGACATATACTGTTTAACCAAAAAGGAAAAAAAAAGAAAAAAAAAAAAAAAGAAAAAGAGAGAGCTAATTATAGCTGGCAGTGCCTAAGTAAAAGTCATTAATTTTAGAAGCAAATAAAGAATAAAACTTTAGATTGGACCAAGTATAGAGATAGATGGCTAAAGAGAAAATATAATTACTTGAGAAATTATAAGCATTAAAACTAACTGGGGAAGCCTAATTTCTACACAATCTGCCAGCTGCAACAGAAGATATATTCAATGTATGTTTATTATACAATATGAAATAAAGACTAATACTCTATAGTAAATTATACAACAAGTACATACAATAATAAAAATAAATAAATAAATCATGTTTTACAGCCTTCACCAGCTTTTCAATTTGTATGATTAACTATGGAAAGTGGGAGTATAACTAAGAAGAATTGAAGACTTCAAATCATAAGAACTATATTAAGCAGCAGAGCCAATCCCAGATTGGCGTTGCACTTGTTCAATTTGGCGTAATGATCTTCTATTGTAACCCATATAACTAAAAACTCACAAAATAACAAGCTATAGAAACAATATTTTGGTTAAATGAGGTAAGTTACCTGTGAGGACTGTGTTGAGCAGCAAAACACCTTGCAATACATCAAATTTTAGTGAGAATCTCTTTTCTAGTAGTAACTGTCCACAGAACCATTTTGAGGAAAAAAAAAATGCCACTATCAAGGAAAACAGTGAATGATAAATCCACATAATATCAAATTTACAGCATAATAGAATAAGAAAAAATAAAAGGACATATATGTATAGAGAAAAGACAGGCAAGGTTAACAAGGACAATATTTTAAGAGCAGAAGATGCGATAAGTTCACATGAAGTAAAAGCAAAATCCTCAAAGATGAATGCAAAAGAAAACATAAACTAGTATACTTGTCACTTTGTCAGAACTATCACCTTTACAACCCACCTCACCAAATTTCCATGGGATGGAATAGAGCATCCAAGATCTTGTTTGAGTTCCTTGAATACATTTCCAAAACTCGAAGGAATTTTGATTCCCTCAGGTACCTAGGACAGAAAATGCTCAGATATTGAAAATAGAATGTCCTAAGAAGTTTCGAAATGGGTGACTTGGGTAATTTTGTCCCCCGTATCTCATTGATTATAAGCAAATACTAGTCTGCTCAACATTAACCATCTTCCAGAAAGTATGCAATGTTAATTAATGTACTTTCATTGGAAAGCATCGGCAACAATTGAAAGAGCATATATCCCAAATGAATCACAAGTCTAGTGTCTATATATACCATGCTGAAACTTTTGGCACACCAAGCAAGTCTAGTGTCTATGGCTCTTAAAGAAGATGAATTATAATCTGAGTATTTAGTGGAAATATACTAATTTCATCTTGCTTTGATCCAGTAAAGATAAAACCTTCAACTCCACACACATTAAATGTCCTAATGCTTAAGTTTTTAACGGCGTACCTCTACGCCCCCCTACAGGCTCCACACTCGTTATTAAGTCACACCCGAGCACACTTGTAGCCGCACAAGCACTACAACACAGCCCTATGGAAGCAGCATCTACACTACACACACAACACAAAAATACACCAATCCTTACTCGCCAAGTCTCTCCTGCATATACAAAACACAGCCACTACCACTCAAGCACACAACAGTCTCTGTACAATCCAAATAAACTCGCTAGCATCATTTGCTGAAGCAAACAGCAGCCTGCAATGATATGTCTAGTAGCTGCTTGCTCCAATACCACACTAATTAGCACAACTATACACACAAAAATTTGGACTACTGTTTTAAATTGGCTAATTCTTCTATTAACAAAATCAATCATTTTTAGCGTAACTTTAAACGATAATTGCAACAACAAAATGAAGTCCAAACTTCATCTTATATCTTTATGCTAGTGATATCCTTAGAAATCATTCGAAAAAGCTTCTTCAATTAATGGAATTACTAGCAACAAAAATAAACTTTAGAAATTACTATAAGTCAAGCACGAGTTCAAGCAGAATTAGATCAGTAACAAAATCATGCTAACATGTAAAGCTATAACATTCACTAGATCAGAAATTGCCTAATATTCATAACAGATGATTCAAATTCTTTTTCTCGTGTTTACTTTCAATACTTGAACAAATAATTCCTCATTTTATTGAGATAATCCAAAACAACAAAATTCGAAGAACATACACATGGACAAAAACGCAAAAAAGTAGAAATAACACGAAATTTGTCGAGAATCAGTTGAATATATAAATAGAGCAACAAAATTCTTGGCAAAATCATAAGAAACAACGGTTTTACCAATAGCAAAGAAAGATATATGGTTATACCTAGCCTATAACCTTAATTGAAGTGAGTAGATTGCTCAGCATGCTTCTTGTCCTCCATAGAAGCGCTGCTTCCGCCATTGATGTTCGCTGAAGCTCCAGTAGCTCTCGCGACCACAAATTTTCCCAACCATTAGATTTCACAATTGCTTTCTCTCTGCTAGGGTTTGTTAGTTGCTAGGGTTAGAGTATTGAATTGTGATTCGAAATAGGGTTAGAGTAATTTGGATATGGCGAACGGAATGAGAAGTCGGCGATTTGGGGTGAAGAGAGGAGGAGATGGCGAAGGGGAGGAAGAGAGTAGGAGAGAGAGTGAAAGGGAAAATACTACGAAGTATGTGCGTATTTGAATTGTATCCATACTCAAGGCAGCCCTCTCCTTTTACATTTCAATTTACCATATTACCCCGACTTACCACTGGAAATTACCAAATTGTCCGTAATATAATATACTTCCTCCGTTCTTTTTTACTTGACCCGCTTTGACTTTTACACTATTCACCGCTTCTCATTTGACCTTCTTTTGTGAATGATATGTAAGGAAAAATATATTCATATGATATCTTTTTCAATTCGTCTCAATAAGTAGTATCGTAATATACAACTTTTATAATTTTTACTTCTGAAGAATTAAAGTTATTGATCGCTAAAGTTTTGCATTGGCAAGCGTGATAAAAGAAACAGGTCAAGTAAAAAAGAACAGAGGAAGTATATACTTCCTCCGTTATTTTATTATTGCACCACTTGCCTTTTTAGGAAGTTTCACAAATATTGCACCATTTCCTCTTTAGAAAAAAAATTATTTGTGTTCACACCACAAATACCCAACATTTCCCTTGCTTTTTCACACTTACTTTTTAATTTATCAATATGTCACATGGGCAATTTTGTATTTTTACCTTTCTCTCTCTTACTTTTTTCCACTACCAAAATATTTGTATCCAACACCTATGGTGCAATAATAAAAAAAGGAGGAATTATATATTATAAAGGAAAGAAACAAGAAGTTAGACTAGTCTTCTCTCAAGGCTATAACCCAACTTATCTGAAATAATAAAAAAAAGAAAATTTACTATCTAAAAAAGGATCAATATCCTGGTGCGTTTGCATGAAATGACCTAACGAAACAACATAATCTGCTGCTCTATTGCCCTCTCTATAGATGTGCCTGGATTCGACGGAAGAGAAAAGACGAAGGAGCTCCCTTATATCTTCCAGGAATAACTGAATCTTCCACGGGCACTGAGCTTTACCCTGCAAAATATTAATTATAAGTAAGTTATCCCCTTCAATAAAAATATGGGAAAAACTGTGGGACTGCGCAAGAAGAAGACCATTGCGAAGGACAGTAGCTTCAGCAATAAGAGGCGTAGCCAATATACAAAGACCGACTACAAATATGATTACCCAAGTAGTCTTTGATAACTACACCTACATCACCTGAGGTTCCACGTACAGACCCGTCAAAATTTATCTTAACAAAATCATGATGAGGAGGAGACCAGGAAATTTGAATGGTCCGAGAATTAGCATTAGAAGTAGAATGAACTAACTAATTATCCATAGAATCCAAACAAGAGCGCAACTTCTATTCATGAAAGATTTTTTGGGCACGGGATAAGATAGCCATAGAAGAGAAATTCATGTTTTGAAAGACAATTGAGTTTCTAGTTTTCCAAATACTCCACATAGAAGTAATAATCTTAATCACAGAAAAAGTAAAATTCCCATGTAAAATTCTAAAAAGCTGATAAAAATTATTATGAAGAGGAACATGACCTAGCCAATTAGTAGTAGGGTTAGCAATCCAAAAACGTTTCGTAAACAGACATGAAAGGAATAAATGATCCTGTGTTTCAACATGAAAATTACATAAAGGACATGTATTGGGAATGTCCAACTGACGATGAGCAAGATTTGCTCTATTCGGAAGAGCGTTATGAAGAAGTTTCCAAACAAAAAATTTCAATTTTGGAGAGATATCTAATTTCCAAATCCAAGCAAATTCCCACTTAGTGTGGGAAGATATGTTATGGGCTAACCAAGTAGTAGATTTTACAGTAAAATCGCCATTGTTAGACAAACCCCAACAAGGTTCATCTTGGATAGACGAGGAAGGAAGAGGGATACCTTGAATAATTTGGAATAAATTAATAGGAACAAGAAGAGATAGGGTCGTAACATCCCACTCATTAGAATCCGTAATAAAGTTATCCACAGTGAGATCTAGATTATGGATATCTGAAATTTCTAAATTTAACATAGAAATAATATTTTCAGAAGAGCACCAATTATCCAACCAGAAAAGAACACTAGCGTCATTACCAATTTTCCAACGAAGTCCTTTAAGAAGAAGAGGGCGGGTTTGGAGAATCTTTCTCCAAATCCAAGAGTCCTTCGACTGAGGCTTATACTCAAAAAAGGTTTGTTTAGTGAGATACTTTGCGATAATCGAACGTGCCCAGAGGTTATTTGGGTCTGAGATTATTTTCCATCCCAACTTTGGTTAAAAAGCCGAATTCACAGCTTCAGTCATACGCAAGCCTAAACCGCCATAACTTTTGGGCCGACAAATTTTATCCCAAGAAATCATGGGGATTCCATTTTTTTGTGGAGACTGTTTCCAAATAAAATTTCTATAAATCTGATCCAATGAGGTAGTAATAATTTTAGGAAGGCGGGCTGTGGTCATTGAAAAGGAAGGTAAAGCTTTCAAATTATTCTGAATGAGAACAGTCTTCCCAGCTTTGGAAACTGTATTATAAGATCAGTTGTTCAATTTCTGTTCTGCTTTAGTTACTAAATGCTGGAAATTATGTTTCGTAAAAGATCGGGTTGTAAATAAAACACCCAGATATCTACCCAAAAATGACTTTGGAGTCATATTAAAATAACTAGCCAAATTTCTTTTTTTCGAGGAAGGGACTAATTTAGAAAAACAATAGAGGACTTGTAGAAGTTTATCATTTGACCAGACATGACCGAAAATTCACTAAGTATGTTTTGGATGTGAGAACAAGACACTGGAGTAGCACGAAAAATTAATAAACTGTCGTCTGCAAATCAGAGGCAAGGGATAATAAGAGAAGATGAGGCAATTTTAAAACCTATACCTGATTTACGATCTAAAGAATCTGAAAGTAGCTTCTTCGAGAGCACTTCCATACATATAACAAATAAGACTGGTGATAAAGGATCTCCTTGACGTAATCCTCTAGAAGGGATAATCATATTAGAAGTACTGTGATTCACTATTGGAGAATAGGAAACAGAGTTTACACATCCCTTTATCCAATGGATCCAAGTATCGTTAAAACTAAAAGCCGATAGAGTAGCCCAAAGGAAATCTCATTCAACTCTATCATAAGATTTTTCCATATCTAATTTTAGTGCCAACCAACCTGTTTTATTTTTTAACTTATTAAAAATATTCAGTATATCTTGAACTAATAAGATATTATCCTGAATAGCGGTATCTGGGGCAAAAGCATTTTGGTAAGGACCTATGATCTTCTTTAAAAAAAAAGGCTTTAAACGATTAACTAGAATTTTTGAAATTCCTTTGTATAATGTCTTACATAAACTAATTGGTCGAAATTAACTAGCCTTAGTCGGATTATCAATTTTCGGAATAAGAGAAATGAGCGTGTGATTACGTTGGCGTAGCATAATACCATTATAGAAGAACCCCCGACAGCTTTGCAAACATCAGTTCCTATGATAGGCCAGTAATATTGGAAAAATTTAGGTCCAAATCCATCAAACCCAGGAGCTTTATAAGGGCACATATCAAAGAAAGCATCTTTGATTCATCATCAGAAAAAGGGTTGGTTAAGTCAGTATTATCTGAGAGTGAGATAACAGGATGCATCCACGGTATAGATATAGGTCTTGAGTAATTATACTCTGATTTAAAACATTTAGAAAATTCATTAAAAAACAGTTGAGTAATCTCTATAGGAGAATCTACCCAAACATCTGCATCATCCTGTAATTTAAAAATTTGAGGTCGATGTTTTTGATATTTCATCGTGTCATGAAAATATCGAGAATATCTATCTCCTTTAGTTAACCAAGATTTACGAGCTAGTTTTCCCCAATATTTCTTGCCAAACAACAGTAATTTTTCCCTTTGCTTTAGGTTACGCAGTAAATGTTGTTTAATGTGCACATTAGAGGGGAAAGCTTGTAGTTGTTCCTCTACATTCTTTAGTTTTTCCTGATTAGTGACCAATTTTGACAGGATATTACCATATGTTTTAAAATTCCAATGCTTGAGATCGGTTTTTATCCGAGTCAATTTCTGAGTTATGCAAAAGAACCTGGAACCAGTTAATCTATGTGCCCAATTCTTTGAGACTATCATAAGCCTCTGAATCTAGAGTCCAAGCGTTTTGAAAACGAAAAGATGATATCTTTTTCAGACCTCCATTTCAGAGATATAGAAAAATTGGGCTATGATCAGAACATGTGAAAGATTCATAAGACAAAGCTACATGAGGATATTGTAGTGCCTAACTTTGGCTAGTTAAGCTTCTATGTAAACGTTCATACACTAATTGTGTATGAATTTGTTTTTTCCAAGAAAATGCCATACCAATAGGACGAATGTCAACAACTTGCGTAATTTGTACAAAATTTTGCAATTTTAAACACCTACGAGGTAAAGGTGAAATGCCTCCTTTCTTGTCTGTCAAACATAGTAACTCATTATAATCACCTATTATACATACACCAAGGAATGGAACAAGATTGAACAAGCTGGGAAAAAGGTTTCCAAAAATCCATCTTTTGACTTTCTTGGGCCGGGGCGTAAATACCAAATAATTCAAAAACAAAATTTGATGTGTTATCGGTAACACGAAGATGGGCTAACCAATGAGAAAAACTAATAATATGTACAGTAACACATTTAGTATTCCAACAAATCCACATTCCTCCACAGTGGCCATTTGGGTTGATAAAATGAATTTCATTGAAGGCTAAAGTTCGTGATA